GAGATCAGGTAAAACCTGATGCATGCTGCTCGCTGCTGCACGACAGGGGGCCGGCGCCCTGCCCTCCTTCCCCCTGGCTGCCACCTGCCGGCTGGGACCCTCACCCCAAACCTGCCCGCCATCGCCACGGAGTGCTGGGACCTCAGCATGTCGACCTGCCACTTGCCGCATGGCTTTTCTGTCCCCTTTCCGTCTCCACCTCTGCTCCCCTGCCCTCCATCCCCTCTAGTCTATGCACCCCTGTCTGTCTTCTTAGACTGTAAGCTCCTGGAGGGCAGGGCCTGTGTCTCCCCCCACCTCCATATTTCCCCTGTATCGCGCCGGCGAACTTTGACATGCTATTTAAGAAGTTAATAATAAGAATAGTGCCAGTAACTTATATTAGAAACTAGAAATAAAAACAGAACAAGACTAGGAGTGCTAATGATTGCAATGCCTTGGGGATGGCGGGTAAGATGGGGCTGTGAGAGGCAGGAAGTGAGAGAAAGACAGCTCTTAAGGCCTAAGGTCAGGGTTAGTGAAGGAACAAGGGAAGAAGCCAAGGGAAGCAGCCCCGATATCCTAGGCTCCCTCCCTGCAGAGGAGGCAACTCTGCCAAGTCTCAGGAAGGGCGCAGGGCACCGGGATGGGGCTGCCTGCCGCGCGGCCCAGACACGCGTGGAGAAGCCGCGTCTGGAGGAAGGGTCGGCGGCCAGGACGGTGCAGAGAGGAGCGGAGGTCGCAGCTGAGGGAGAGAGATGAGGGCAGGGAGAGGAGGGAGGCGCGGGAGACAGGTTGCTACGAGCCCCCAGCTCTGCCCAGGCCTTGCCCACGCCGCGCCGCGGAGGAGCCGCTCACCCGCCCGCCTGTTGTTTTCCACAGAGAGGAAATTTCTATATAGCAATTCATTCTGAGAATACTTTGTTTCCCTATTCAAACGCATAGTTTTTCTTTTTCTTCTTCTTCCAAGACTATTTTATCTATTCAGGGTTTCTTCCAAGTTCATATGAATTATAGGATCATCTATCAAATTTCTACCAAGAAATCATTGAGATTCTGATAGGGATTGTCTAAAGTCCATAGTCAATTTGGAGAGTATTGCAATCTTAACAATGAATCTTCTGGGCCATGAATATAGGATATCTTTCCACATTTTCAGATATTTTAAAATTTCTTTCAACA